TTAATCAACAGTAAACTTGTCGCTTTTCAGCAAAAATAATTATTCAACTCAGATCCGTTGTCTTTTACTTTTTCAGTAAAATGATTACTTGAGTAAACTCGGGCGATCCTTGAACAAAGACGAATATCTCAAGAAGCAGAAACTTGAAACAGAAGTACTAAACACAGTGACAGAAGCGGCAGAGATNTGATTACTTGAGTAAACTCGGGCGATCCTTGAACAAAGACGAATATCTCAAGAAGCAGAAACTTGAAACAGAAGTACTAAACACAGTGACAGAAGCGGCAGAGATATTTGCAAACTCATCTACAGCAGACACAAATTCTCAGTGGCGAGACAACTGCTCGAAAAGGGACGATAGTCCGAAAGTATCAAACAATCGATGGTGCCAGTGTTTATGATTATTTCAGCCGCCAGCAGCTGATTCAAATCAAGTTTTCTTTTCTTGCAATCCTCAAACTCTCTTTCTTATCAGCAGCCATCACTTTCACCTTGATTTTCCTTGGATGCAACAGCAAACGTGAAACTAGTCATCAATCAGTTTTATACTACTCGTCTTTCATTTTGTTCACTGCCCAAACACCACTACTAAGCATGAGCGACCCTAAAGTAAAGTGTCCCAATGATCGTCTCCGAATTGGTTTTGTCGGCGCCGGCAACATGGCCACGGCCATCTGCGAAGGACTGATCAACTCAAGTATGATGGTTCAACAGGAGTTTTACTTGGTTTCTAATGTGTGTCTTCTTCCTCTTCTAGAGTACGTCAAACCGGAGCAGATATACGCATCGGCGCCGAGCAACAACAACATCCGTCGGTTTAAAGTACAAACTCCTTTTTAACTTTAAGATTTGAGACTAATCTCTGGAATCTAATTTTTGGTCGCCTCACTTAGGAGCTGGGCTGCCACACCTCCAACGACAACTCGCTGCTCTTTCACAACAGCGCAGACTTTGGGAACGGCGAGAACAGCGGCGGTGGCCGGAAGCCGAGCGAGCTCACCTTCATGCTCTTCGTCTGCGTGAAGCCGCATATTCCGCTGAAGCTGCCCGGCTTCTGGGACTTTCTCGCCAAGGGCCACTTCATCGACAGTATTGCCGCCTCGCCGCTGATCATCATCTCGCCGCTGGCCGGCGTGCAGATGTCCTCGCTGAAGATGTCCATCGACTCGCACTTCAAGGACAACTTTCCCTTCACCATTCGCCTGGCGCGGATCATGCCCAACACGGCCGTCTCCGTGAACGCCGGCTGCATCGGCCTGACGCTGCACAGCTCGGCGACGTCGGTCTCCGAGGAGATTGTGACGCTGCTCAATCAGCTCGGCTACTGTGCCCTCGTCAGCGAGGACCAGCTCGATGCGGTGGTCGGCGTGGCCGGCAGCGGCATTGCCTACGTAAGTGTGCAGTGCTGGGCTCAGGAGTTTACTTTTTTGATTCACTTTTTCATGTTGTCCTATTTTTTCTTCAGGTCTACTCGATGATCCAAGCGATGGCTGACGGCGGCGTCCTCATGGGCCTCCCTCGCCAGACTGCGATCAAATTTGCCGCACAGACGGCTGCCGTAAGTTGTATTGGAAAGTGTTTTGCGCCTCTTTATAACCAGAGTTTGAACACTTCTCCTTTAGGGAGCAGCCCAGATGGTGCTAAGGAACAATGACGGACCAATCGCCCTGCGTGACAAAGTCTGCTCGCCAGGAGGGACGACCATCACCGGGCTGTACGCGCTGGAGAAGGGCGGCTTCAATGCCGCCGTTATGGCCGCCACGGAGGCGTCCACGAAGAAGTCGCAGGAGTTTAGCAAGCTTTCCTCGCGAAAGTAGCCAAAGTATTACTGTTTTCTAGAGTGCCCACCGCTACCTCTCCACTTCCCACCACTCTGTTCTGTCTTTGGAATCTAATTTGAGGTATTTTTCTCACTTATTTTTTTGNACTGTTTTCTAGAGTGCCCACCGCTACCTCTCCACTTCCCACCACTCTGTTCTGTCTTTGGAATCTAATTTGAGGTATTTTTCTCAATCATCTTTTAAAAAGTTGGTTGGTTGAATGGGTCAGATATCTACCCTAGGTGGCTAGTCGTTACTCCAGACACCTGGGCTGGGTCGGATGAATTCACCGGAGAACTCATAGCCCAATATCATCATGAAGGTTTGGTCAAATTTTGACCCCACCTGATCAACGAGTTGTCCACCGTACAAGTGGGACTGCTTCACTCAAAAGCCCGTCAACGAGGCTACAGGTGTTTTACTTTTTGGTGATTTTATTTCACTGTTTAGAGCAAGCTTTTGGTCACTTTGGTTAATGTTTCTGGTTCCGCAAAACCTTCCCTACAATGTTTTGCATGGGTAAGTTTAATATTTTTCTGCAAATTCGGTTAAACGCGCCAATTTCGGGCGCTCATCAGTGTCACGTGACGGGCGGTGCGCATCACGTGGGAAAGAAGGGGATGGAAGGGGCTGCTCGTAGAAGGAGGATGGATGGAGCATTTGAAAAGTGCCGCCACTTTGACTTTTTGAGCAACAAAGTTACGGCACTTTCTTTTGACAAAACATAAAAAAATTTTCACATGTTTGTGAGAAAATCGGAAGTTGCTTCTTTGAGAAGAGAAGGTAGTTGCTACTGCATTTTCAGTATTCCTTATTTTGCCCTTTTTGCAATCGCCAATCTAAATAATTTATTGTTGTTGCTAAGTGATTAAGATTAGCCTTTAGCCTAATGCATTGTACGTCTTATATTGTTTCCAGTTTAGAGGTAAAAATGCTGTGTGAGATACTGTGTGCAATAGCACCCAATGCTCAATACAACAGAGTCCGCATGGACGACTGATCATTTTGTAAATAACGGAAAATGCTGATTCAAGTTACGATGTGATATTTTATGTTATGCGGTTCACTGACCAACAAAGCTCTAACCAACAACAACGACTGTGATTTCACTTCCAACCATGAAGCCTCATTGCTTCCTTCACCAGCACCTTTTGCTCATTTGGTGC